CACACACACAAACATCCCTCCCCCCCACACAAAAACGAACAAAAAAAAACTACGATTAGCCTACTACTCACAATTCTTAATATGGGACGATGACGTGTTGACCTCCGTGTAGTTCTGGAAGAGGTCACCGGCCGTGGTCATGACCTTGTCCGTCTCCGAGTTGGAAGGGGCGTAACCCAGCACCATGTTGGTGGGGAAGTAGGTACTCGCCAACACCGTGCTCGTGGGTGGGTAGGTGGTGGGCTGAGTCACGTCATCAACCTCCACCAAAGCCCGGATGGCGAGGATGATGCAGGCGAAGAGAATAGGGAGAATCACCTCGAAGATGGATACGCAGATCTTGCGCTTCTGCAACAGCCAGTTCTTCCATAGCAGAAGCTTCAGTTGGCTCCCGAAGCCCATGGTGGAAGGTCTGGGTCAAGGCTACCCGCAATGACCTCTAGCACCCACAACGGCTTCCGGTTTCGGAACCGGGTGTTTGTTTTCTTTTTGTTTCTTATCACAATAACGTCTGTCTCTAATTCCCCAACGTCGTAGGGAGGGGCTAGTTTTCGTTTCACTAAGGGTTTTTACTGCACTTGCAACACAGTTAGGTCATAAATAAGTGCGCCCAAGAAGGAGGAGGAAATCTCAAATTAATGACAGCCTGCGCCGTTCGACGGGTTTTCTTAAAACCAAGCACACTCCACAGAGAAATGCTGAACGTTCTTCAAATATTTCTTGACAGTTTGTCTCCACTCGATGCTACCTCTGTAATAATGTCATAAAAATGATCCCATTGTGAGAATGTGTTCAAAGTCGTCCTTTTCGCTTTGATTCTGTGAATAGAAAAACATAATCAAATTTCAACTGACGCTGCATTTTAATTTTCGTAAGAGTTTTACGGCACTTGCAACACAATAAGGTCATATAAGTGCCGAAGAAAAGATGTGTTACAAGAGAATAACATACACAAAAAAAGGAGGAGAGACAAGGACGATAGATGTTTGATAGGAAAGAAGGACCAAACCATACCAGAGTACCCGCCAACCACCCACACACCACAGACACCCGTCCCAAATGTCTATGATTAGGGTAATATCCGTCGTCACACACTGATATGAATTTGAAGGAGCAAATGTTAAAGGCTGTCAAACCACTGCTCTATTCTATGTAACTACTTGCCACTGACACACACACACAAACACACACACACACACACACACACACACACACACACACACACACACACACA